TGTTATTGTCCTCATTTGTAAGTCGCTTTGGATAAAAGTGTCTGCTAAATGACTAAATGTAAATGTAAGTGTGATTTGGGAAGTTTCTGTCCATGTCTCTGTGTGTGTGCGCGAGTGCGTGTCTGTAGGCCTACTGTGTGCGACTGAGAGAACGGGAGAAGGAAAGCGTGATTTCCGTAGGCTACATAAAAAAGGTGGAAAACTTGGAAATAGTTTGTCATTTTTTACCCTATTGTTTGTTATATTTATTTGCTCAATGTCTTGAGCAATGCATAAATCTTAAGATAAAAGATAAAATGATGACAATCTGCAGACAATGTACAAACTATTTGCTAATGTTGTTAGCCTATTACTTTAGTATAGCCTAGGCCTAATAGACTACATGACATTATTTTAAATGTTTAATGTTCAATTTTATTAATACAAAAAAAAAGGGGTGCTCCTCACTGTCTCCTCAGCGACCCTGCTTGTTGTTCATACATATTCCACACGCCTAGCCTTCATCATTGACATATTTCACACTGTAGCCTGTTCTACAGACTGTGTGCTATCTGTTGGTTAAACTGTCGGATGGAAAGGTTATCGCTGCATCCGCTGCTTCACTCAGAACTCTCTTAAACCCCGTTCACTCGACACGAATCGACCCCATTCATTTTCTGTTCACAATCTGTTTGACAGAATTAAATGTGCAGACACTCACGTGAAAATGTACTCGGGTGGTTTGTCATTCAGAAAACTGAATATGAAAAATTGACATGTAATGGATACATTTCGTTAAGTTATATGCCATTTAAGCATGCAATATTTGAAAAACACATTTAGTACAAATTTTTTTTTTTTAAATCGCTGAACCGTGACGTGTGATTGCAGAGATACTTTCCTTAAACCGAGAAGAAATGTCTACTGCCTAAATAGGACAGGATTAAAACATCGCGTCACACAAAAATCCAGCGTTTGGGCTGCCAAACGCGTCCTCATGGCCCTCGCAAACGGGTACGTCACTAAAATCTGTGAATAACTTCCAATGGCATGTGCCGGAGAAACTAAAACCTCAGATGCCACTTTAATACCGACAGCGCCAACAATTTCGCAACAGTATTATAACAGCCTACTCAAAATGGCTATTTAATAAATGCATATTTTTAAGAACTAAATAAATAAAATACATTTAATTCTTATGCTATTTTATAATAATATAATCCCAATGGAGGTTTTGGTTTGAAAACCATGCATCTCACAGCACACTCTCAAACACACGCCTTACCTTTCAGCCGCCTTGTCTTGGTCTGCAACATACTTTCGTTTTGCAGCCTCAAGCAACGGCCCCCCTTGTGTTGCAAGGAGTTTAAAATCCCCCTAAGAAACCAGACAGGAAGCAGGAGAAAGTGACAAGTGGAATTTCACAGTGTTTATACGCAGTCAACGATGCTCTCATGTAAGCGTGGGCTCACCGTGCGATGTACAGCACTGTTTATAGACCAACCGCAAGTTCATGTGCAGTCGCTCATGGACAAGTGGAGAAAGTCCCCACCCTCTTTCACCTCTACACCGTTTGTTGTAGGACACTCTATAACCAATAAAACTGAAGGCGTTTCATTTAAGCAATAAGACACGTGATACTGTGAATATCGACAAGTTTGAATCGGAATTATACGTACATATACAGAAGTACACGTTTTGTGCCAGGGCTTGCCTTTTTCTGATCCATTGCGTCATTCCATCCTTTTATCTTTTGCTGTCAGTAACAGGTCAGAGGGTTCATTATATATAGTACTTGGACAGATGTAACAGGAATATCTAATATTTCACAGCAATAACAAAGATTTTTATTTTATCTTATTTACCTGCAAGTAAAAAGCATATTCGTATGTCCTCTACAGAAGTAAAAGAAGGTCATACTGTGCTTTGAACAATGTATGTTTCCCTGAGATGTTCCTATGCAAAAGTCCATTTGAAAAGCAAATATAAATGATACAAATTATAATGGAATATAACTACAAGAACATTTCAATATTGTTACTCCTGTAAAATTATTTTAAGTATCAGAAGTGGCACATTCAATCTCATAATTTATTTATATTGCATTAAAAAACAAAAGCCACATCTAATATATTGTCACGTTGCACACACACGAGGAGACGCTGGAGAATACTTTACCAAGACTTTATTTGCACCAAGGGAGACGTTCACACGAAGACGTACAACAGCGGACTGGGAACACAACACAACACAACACACACAGGAGGAGGGGATGACGAGACACACCTGGGAGCAATAAACCATCATGGGGAACACCTGGGACAAATTAAACATGGGAAAGGAACACCTGGGGAGCAAGACACAGAAAAAACATGGAACAGAGTCTGACATATATTACTTAAACTGTGCTGTATAATACATCAGCTAAGCAAGCAGATTCATCAATATTCATATATAACCATGGCTTCAACAGAGTTAATCAGAGTCTTCATGGCAAGTTGATCCATTTAACATCTGGAAAGAGATTAATTGAGCATGCTATGTCGTTGCTGAATGGGTGAATTCGATAGATTCATTCCTGTACAAATTAACATGACTACATTTTTTTTCTTTCAAGGTTTGTCGGGTTAGCTTGGCTCAATTTCAAAACCCACACAATTTCAGGGGACCCTGTGTCAGCCAAGCAATGGACATTGATACGAATGGGAATGTGAAAGGATAGCTTTTTATTATCCATTTCTTGCATCTTAAATCATGGAGGAATGAAATTAATGAATTTAATTTTTAAAAAACAATCCACCCAGCCACACAGGTTTTAACCACACAGCCTCTCTTCATAACCATACCCTGTAAAGACACAACTACAGATATAAGCAAACAGATGTCGCACACAGTAGTTGACTGGCCTGACACCTTTTTGCTGTTCAGCAAACAGATGTAATTGATGTACACAGACAGATGTAATTCCTCAGGACACCTGTTTCAGTGATTTATGACAGGTACAGCAAAACTGCTCCAGCAGGAATTAGCAAAACCAGAAACTCTACCAATTATTTTCAGTACTGACACTGGAATAGATCCACTATATCACAAAACTCAAACCCAAAAAACAGAAGAGAATTAAATATAAAATGCACAAATAATGACATAAATTTAAACCCATCTTCATACAAACACGCAGCAGGATTTACGACTGTTTGTCAGGTTGGCTTTTGTGGCTTCCTTGAAGTCTGGGTTGAGCAGAGTCCTATAAACAAGAAAAATTAACCGCACTTTAGTTTAATATGCTATATAAACATTATGAAATAAATTACTTATCTTTCAAAACAAGACACCAAATGTCTATTAAATATAAGAATAATAAATAGTGAAAGTGAAGTCTACTCCACAGCAACTGAACTCACAGGAGAATTTTTTTCCTATATTTCCAATTCAAAATGTTGTGAAGAGAACCAAAACTTAGCTGGCAATGGTAAATTGTGTGCATTCACATCCTCATCAATTGTTTTAGCACATCATTATTTTGTCATGTAGTTAACAAAATCTGGGTCTATTATATAACAAAACAAACATGACAAATATGCTGCTGCACTCTAAAAAACGTTGGGTTATTTACTGTACCCAATATCTGTGTTAACATGTTGGGTCGTTTTGTTGGGTTATTCCTATGTTTATTGGGTTATTTATTTCTATAACAACGCAACCAGTTGGGTTAAAAATGTAAATTCCAACGGTCGATCGGTGCAACTGCGACAGATGATACAGCAGTAAATTAATATGTGTGCGTTATGTTGTTGTTTGTTTGTTACAAAGTGTCTTTAAGCCCTGACACAGTGATATTGCTGTTTTTCCTACGAGTATGTTTACATCTCCCCTGTCGGCTGATATTTTAATCCGTTATCTGCACTCTTGACTTGACTAACGACACGAGCGCTCTGAAGTCGATCAATTTCAAACCTATAAAAAACGGTTTCCTTACTTTTTCTGTTCGTCTCGACAGTTTGGGGGAACATTTTACATATATGAGTGAAGGTATGTCGCCTTTTTATTCAAAACTACATGTCCTTTCGTGTAGTTTGTCCATGTGACCTACACTGATTACACGCGCCGCTACTTCAGACATGAAGAACTGAACTTGGAAGAGAGCGGAGCGTTATTATCATCAGTGATCAAAATACACCATTATCGGTTTCAAGGTATAGTCACATAATAACCGTTCTTGTTAAATAAAATTAATACTGTTTGTATGTACTATATAATAGGGTCTGAACAGGATGCTGGATTTTACACAATTTCTAACGTTAATAAAAGTTCCACTGTCAAAACCCCATACGTCTTAACTATGCCACTTGGGAGAAAGTACACCCCGATATGGATAAATCATAATACAACTAAATAATTGGACATGCAACAATTACATTTTCAGAATTCATCTGGAAATTACAGTGTAAAATTAAAACCCTTCGAAACACACAGAAATGAAACGCTTTATCTCTGGAAAGTTGCTGGTTACCAGAGCAATCATGTAGTGATTATTTTTCACCGACAGAGGGCGCTGTGACCTACACTGATTACACGCGCCGCTACTTCAGACATGAAGAACTGAACATGGAAGAGAGCGGAGCATTATTATCATCAATTATCAAAATACACCATTATCGGTTTCAAGGTATAGTCACATAATAACCGTTCTTGTTAAATAAAATTAATACTGTTTGTATGTACTATATAATAGGGTCTGAACAGGATGCTGGATTTTACACAATTTCTAACGTTAATAAAAGTTCCTCTGTCAAAACCCCATACGTCTTAACTATACCACTTGGGAGAAAGTACACCCCGAATCGATATGGATAAATGATAACACAACTAAATAATTGGACATGCAACAATTACATTTTCAGAATATAATTACATTTTATGCTCAAAAAGAGGCTTAAATGCAAAATAATAAGATGGGTGTGGAAATTTATGTGGGTGATTTACTAACAATGCACAAATTAAAGAACACAGATGCAACATCTAATTTACATATCAACCAATGCAATATACCAAGAACAGCGCAAATTAGCGTAGTTGCAAATAAAGAATAAAGAAATAAATAAGCAACAGTAGGCTACGTTGAAAAGAACTGGAGGCCAAAAAATCAAGCGTAGCGTTAGTTCTGGCAGGTCACGTTAGTCAAGCTCGCATCAGCTGACCTTCAGCTGATCCCCATACAGAAATGAAGGGTTGCAAGAAGTTTTGATAGACCTGTGAGACTCCTAGTTGAGGGTTCCAAGTCATCTTTTATTTCCTGAAGCAAATTAAAAATAACATGGCTTGGCAAACAATATGTTCAGACAATGTGATCTTCTGGCATTCCAAATAAATTAATACATGCATTAAAAATCACCCTTCTACCACACGATCGATGTTCTCTGCGATACCTCCTCCAGCAACAATAATTGCAGCCATTTCAAGCGCAAAATAATTTAAGACATGCTTTTTTGGGGCGTCAAATAATGGCGCAAATGCCAGTAATTTGACGAGCGCAAACGTTAATAAAACGCATTGCGTGATTCATTTGAATACTCTCCTCCTATAAATTTTGCGTCTGAAAGGGAAACTCCTACAAATGCATATTCAGTAAGGTCAGGGGCAAAAATAACTATCCACGCCTTTTCAGTGCTAATTCTTCACTGTGCGTCTTTAGTAAAACCTGACAGTACTATTTTAACACCAAAAGACGGTTTGCGCTGGCGCCAGCTGTTAGTAAAACTGGCCCTTAAAGGGTTAATTCACCCGAAACTGAAACTTTTTTATTACTTATGTTATTCCACATCTCCATGAGTTTTTTTTCTGCTGTACACAAAATATATTTTACTTTCATAGTATGAATAAATACACATTCTTCAAAATCTACTTTTGTGTTCAACAGAACACAGAAACTCATACCGGCTTGGAACAACTTGAGGGTGAGTAAATGATGACAAAAGTTTCATTTTTGGGTGAACTATCCCTTTGAGAAAAATCACACAAACAAGAGCACTGTGAAGGTGTCTTTAAATAGCTGAGTTAAGGCTGCTTGTGCCTGCTCAAAATTCTCTGTATAGCAATGCAGCATTAAACAGTATGTAAAGACACATAAAAGCTACTTTCAGAAGTGCATCTGTGCCATCTTTGTAATGTGAATTTTGCATTAGACTCTAGATCAATCTAGATCAGGTATGAGACCACAGATAACCACAGCCTGCTGATATAGAGTCTAACAGCATGATTACGAGTGTGATATATAGTTTTTACATAACTTATTCTGTATGTCACTGACACACTGTCATTACCACCCACTATCATAACAATGTAACATGCAGAAGGAGTTCAAAAATCCCCACACCTTGTCTATATTGATACAAACACCACTTTTGTAACACTCAGCTAATCAAATTGATATATAACACACGGATATATAACATTAATCCATTATTACAACAGTAAGAAGTCGAATGTAAGACTGCTACCATGGTTTAAAAAAGTGTGGATTTTTTCCCTTATTTTGCCCATTCTTGTTCGGTGATTAATCCATTGTTCTTTCTATTTAAGATGGTCTTTGGAGATTGCATTAAAGTTGCATTAAAACCCTGACGTCCTCCTTCATTGCCATACAAAGTGGGTAAGTGCATCATTTACGACAATACATTTTTGGGTATTATTTGATCCTATGTATGCATATTATTTACCATTTTAAATTTCTGTTTAAAGGTTGGAACAAATTTCATTCTGTATTTGGAGGAGGAGGAGGAGGAGCAACAAAGGCGATACCCTCATGTCCTGCAGTTTTGGGATAAAATCCATCCTTCATTATTGTGGGAGAAATGGCACTGAAGCAAGACCGTCTTTTTACAAGCAGTTGATACATGGTTTAGATTATTTTAAATTTTGAACATTGAGTAAGCCTGTTTCAGCTGTAATTACACTGCTGTACTAGCTTTGTTCTGTTTGTTTGTTTGTTTATTTGTGAATTTATATTTATCTTGTAAACTGAAACAATTGCAAGTAACCTAATGTGATAAGAAAGTGACAATTTCAACCAATTATTTCATTTAATAGAAGTTTTTGCAACTTTAAATGTAATCGAAATAAAGTGTTTTCAAAATATTTGGATGCTGTATATTATTATTTACATAGCAATACTAATACTAATAATACTACTACTACTACTAATAATAATACCAGGATGGTTAAAGCAACATTTTGGCCAAATAACCCAACAAATTTGTTATTTTATAACCCAATGCATTGGGTTACTAACTTACTACCCAATCCATTGGGTTAAAATAACTCAACATTAGGTAGGTACTATAGCAACCCACCATTGGGTTATCTATTGGGTCATTTTTAACCCAACAATTTTAAGTGAGTGGAAGATTAAAAAAAAATAATGCACGGAACATAAAAGATGCTTAAAACAAATCTATAGACATTTTTGTTATAATTAGAAAATCAGGATTCTACCTACTACATTTTATTAACAAAATATGAAAATGATATGAACTATATTCATATTATTAAAGATTTATTACTCTCTTTCTTTAATTCACTATATTGTCTTTTATACTTTACTTCTGCTTTATATACATTATCATATTGAGATGTTTTTCAACCTATATATAGAACAGGAAGTCAAAACAATGCCATGATCTGACATGTGCCCTGTGAGTGCATTAAAAATGATCTTGATGCAGCTCCATAAAAAAGGCAAGTAGTCAGTTGTTCTTAATTGTTCAATTTCAGAGCATGTAGTGATGTAGGGTTGTTTTGCTCTTACAGTCTCTGTGCAGGACACATGGAAGTTGATAATTTCCTCTCCCATAATGATGTAAGATACAAAAGAAAAGATCTTTGAAGAAAAGCATAATCAAAAGCAAAGAAAAGCAAATCTCTCATCCATGACTGCACAAAATGAATCGGTCTCCACAATACAGACAAACACTAACCTCTTTAAGGAAAGGAGACTCTACCCCCAGGTATTTTGAGAGCACATATAGGCAGAAGAGGTGCCTGTCAATGCTAGATCCAGTCATGGCCAGGCGGTAGAGGTTCTGATGCTTCTCAGCAGCCTTTCGGAACAGCTTGCGGCAATGTTCTCCGTCCTATGAAGAAAAATCAGGCAAAATGAAATAACTGCCATGCGAGAGGTTACACGACAGTACAAAGTAATTATGGAGGGCTGTGGCACTTAAAAATCTAATTAAGAACTCAACTACCAATGGTTTCATCATATCATATCAACATATCAAAATAGAAACAAACAGACCTTTTATTTTTTTTATTATTTAATAAAATAATAAAATGTTTCAAAATGTAATTTAATTATACAATAAATAATAAAAGAATAAATCATTTTTGCATGCAAACTTTAAAATAGTATTTTTATAAAGTATTTACAAATAGCATTATCAATTTATAAATTGTTTTCTTTATTATTTTGCCAAATAATTTTCTTCATCAATTAGCCAATCAACTTATAAAACAGGTCTTTTTATTTGACCATTTCAAAAGTGATTTATTTATTTTAATTCATTACATTTAACTACATTTTTAAACATTAAATAAACAGTTTAAATGTCTATTTATTCAACAGTCATATTATATTTTTATTTTTTAACTAACAAATTGATAAATATTCCTTCATTTTATTTTTAGGTGGCATTCCTGATTCCTCAGTGAAGTGCTGTCAGTAACAGAGACGGAAAGAGAAGGATCTTTGGATTTACAGCATGCTCCAGTCAGCTGAGGCATTTTGATAAAAATCAATGTGAAAAGTTCACTGCTGATAGGGTTTCAAAAGTTCCTTCTTCAAAAAGTCCCCAAAAGGTAGAAGGAAGAATTTGACTTAACCTCTCCTGCTTCCAGTGCAAGGACAAAGACACAGCTTTCATTGGAACAGCATCAGACGGTCTCAGTGTGGCCCTCGCGAAACAGACGAGTCATGGAGGCTTTGTACGTCAGGCAGGAAGTCCCTCTGTCCTAAAGGTCAAAGAACAAATGAGACAGTGATCTAGAAAACAACTTCCTGTTATTATATCAATTGGAACTGTACTGAAAGCAGAATGAGAGTATGAACACAACACATGAGACAAATAAGAGAAAGTCCCTTCCCAGGGCTAAAAAATGGCCTATTAAGAATGCTGACCTTCAATATGTGAGACTTTTCTCACGCATACTTATTATTATCAATGCTTTCGCTTTGTCAGGACGATGAAGATTGAAGTACCCTGTAGTAGGCCAGCTGCAGGGCCAGCTGCACAAAGGAATCTAGGCTCATTTTCATTTTCTTGATCCGGCCTTACCCAAATTCTCTGAAGGGAAACACATGACAGTCCACATCATCAGCCAGTGCTTGCGCAACAGCGAGAGACTCGAACACCTGCGTCTGAACCTACAGAAAGACAGCGGAGAGAGGAGACCAGTATGCCTGTGATTGGTTTTCATTCCTTTGGGTTCTAGAAGAACACTGCTGAATGTTGTATCAGTGATTAAATAAAAAATATAGCTGGTAAGGTGCAGAGGCGGACAGTAACTAAGTACATTTACTTGAGTATTGTACTTAAGTACACGTTTTGAGTATCAGTACTTTACTTGAGTATTATTTTTTCTGGGAACTTGTGACTTTAACTTTAACACTACATTTGAAAGACAAATATTGTACTTTTCACTCCACTACATTTCTATCAAGGTCCTCGAAGTAGAAAGTCGTTACTTTGCAAGTATTACGTACAACAACAAAATAGTGCATTGACATAAAAAAGGAAATTTACTTTTGGTACTTAAGTACTTTTAAAAGCAAGTACTTCTGTACTTTTACTTAAGTAAAAATCTGTCTTTACAACTTTTACTTGTAATGGAGTAATATTTGACCAGCAGTATCTGTACTTTCACTCAAGTAATGGAGTTGAGTACTTTGTCCGCCTCTGGTAAGGTGTCATGCACCGGGATCATGGTATAGCATGGAGGAAAAGTTTCTATACTTACCCATTTGCTTCGGTGGTGAAATTCAGAGAAATATCCTATAGATTAGACATTTTTAGAAAGAAAAATACTCTTAGAGTTTTTATGCACTTAAAAAAAAAATTGCCAGTTAACTGAGTAAAAGAACATCATAACACATGATAAAAATGATGATACTGTACAAGACGCTGGAATATCAGCAAGTGTATAACCGCAGAAGACTTTATTACAGGTACTAATATTAATACTAATATAACTGCTTCAGTTTTGTTTGGAGCGACATGAGTAATTTTCCATTTTGGGGTGGAGTATCCTTTTAAGAATACTTTGATGTGTTACAACAAAGACTTCAAGTGAATTGTTACAGATATTTTTCATTGTGTAAAAGAACTTGCGTGCTGGCCACTAGGCACGTCCCTTATATCATGTAAAATACAATTCATGCTTCCATTGTCAAGAATGCACACAAGGAAGTTGTGTTTACACATACACAAAAAAATCCCCAATGCTTATTTGCAAGTGAACTACCGACCCTGAGAAGAGGCTGCAGGGAAAATCCCTGATTGACTGGGCACATTTTTAGACCTTCCAAGTACCGCAGTGAAGTGACAAAGTGACATGCAGAGTTTTGTTAAATATTGCTACAGCTATCATAATAGAAATTATAAAATATACAGAAAGATCAATGATTACATTTCTAAATAAAAAGGCAAACGCATACATACATGAGCCAGTGCAACATTACTGAACCTTGAAGATATGAAACTCATATAAAGGTTTCCCTTCAATACGGGAACATTAGATTACACTTAGATAAGATTGCCTGGCTGGGAACTGTACAAAAAAGTTGTGTAACTCTTACGTGCTGCACTGCGTTAAACAAATATTTTTAAAAGCTCTATAGTGCACTAGGTGTACCATTTTAAAATAAAATTAAGAAACAAATTAAATGCATTAAGTCAAAAATAAAAAAATATGAAACGAATAACTAAACATTAAATTAATAATTACATTTATTACTAGTTAATAATTAATTAACAGACATAAAAAGTTAAAAATGCTTTATTAAAATGCTATTTAAATGTAGCATGTTAAAGTAATTTAAATGAGTTCATGCAATATTTTCTTGTTGTATTTAATTAAGATTTAAGCATAGATAAACAATCAATTTGTTTGTCAATTTATTTATATTATTATTTGTTAAATAACACAACTGATATTTCATAATTTTTATTCCTTTGATTCCTTCCAGGATTTCTAAATTGCCTAAAATTGTTACGGGAGAAAAGAGTCAGGATCCAAGTGCAAGTGCAAAATAAGGGTTTATTTTGTAACCACAATAGACGGAGACAAAATGTGATCATAGTCCGGAGTCTCGGTCAAGATCAGGGCTCCTCCCGAGCAGCGTTCCTCACTCAGCGCTGGCCTACCCAAGGCGAGGGCTGAAGATCCGTACCCTGGCTGAGCGTGAACTGAAAACAGAGAACTGACAAGGAGACAGGACATGAGATAACGAACCGACAAACACACATTGAACAAAACGCCCTATAAAGGCATCGCTAATGAGTTGCAGCTGGCGCGCTCTGATAGAGCGCCAGCTGCCACCACTAATGAATGACGTAACACACACACACCCACATGACAAGACGCAAAAGGACCGCATGGACCCATGAACCGTGACAGTACCCCTCCCCCTAGGAATGCCTCCTGACATTCCCAGGAAGACTTAGCTGACGATTAAATTCATCGATAAAAGAGTGGTCCAGTATGTCCCTAGCAGGTACCCAACTTCTCTCCTCCGGACCGACACTAAAGCCTCACAGTCATAATTAAATGACTGTATTACCAGCCTCACAGAAATACGAGTGCTCGAACAAGAGGATTTGTGTCTAGCGACGGCACCCGTCAGT